TAAGCGTATCTCCAGCCATAGATGAATTGTCCGAACAATTGGTATTAAAAAATTATTTAAAAAAAATCATATTATGTTTATTTTCGATAAAAATCAGGATAACAAAGGACTGTCAAATATGATAAATCTAGACCCTGGATTTTTGTCAGATAACTTGCGCCCACGTACGCGTCAAATGCATGTGTCTGGCACAAATAATTATAATGTGTGTGACGTCACCCTGACGTCCGACTGCCTTAAGCAGTGCGTTGGGCGATTGTGGCCCGATTGAGCAGTCGGGCCTTCTGCTTTTCACTGTAGCCTGAGTGACTGGGCATAAGGCTGGAGCTCATCCTATTGGTTTTGGTGGATCAAATCATCCACCCAATCCCCCTACCAATTGGGAGGGCGGAGTTGCTCTAAGGCTTTAATTGCTCCAATGTGAGATTATCTATCAAAGGCAACAAATACTGTGTGATGCAGGAGTACATGGACAATTCAGTTCAACACATAAATAATTAGTTCTAACACACCATATACTAGAATGTGCACATTCAATTCAAACTAGTTGATAATGGTTAAAGAATCTCAAGATTATTAAACGTTCGTGTATAAACTTTATTTCTATAATATGAAATTCAGATTCTCAACAATACTCATAAAGATATAAAGATATTTTGTCGAAGCAATTTTAATTTTTAGAAAAAAGACAAACAAAAGAGTAATTATAGCAGTATTTTAAAAATCGGCCTAGGCGGCGTCTAGGCGCTGGGTGGTGACCGGCCACAAGGATTAACTCAAAATCAGGACAGGGATTAGGCAGCCACCGAGACGGCTTGGGCAACCTAGGCGGGTGACTAAGTGGCCTAGGCGGTCCAGAAATTTTAGTTTTGTTCTGTTTTCAAGAATGCAGATCAACTGCATTCTTGTCCTTCTAGGTTTTTGGTTCACGGTTTGGCGAAGACAAAAGGATGAAGACAGATGAGAAATAACTTTCTCTCTCTTCCTTTCACACCACGTACACTCTGCATACTTTTCTTATTTAATTTTTTTATTAGTTTCCCTCCAATCAAGTTTTGACAACAAGCATCAAGTTGCTTGTTTTTTTGTTAAAAACCATAGGCTGTCAGTCCCTAACATATTGATTTTTCTCGTAAAAAATGATGGGGTGTCAATCCCTACATCCACATATTTCACACCTTTATTTCTCTTTAAATTAAACATAAAGTAATATGATCTCTAAAAAATATTTTATAAATTACTAAGAACTACCCATATTCACATTAGAATTTTTTCTTTATTATGAATCACCCAACCCACCATGTGGGATTTTTACCTTTATTTTAAAAAAATTAGATATAACAATTCAAAATATCTTAAATTATATGGCATATATGCTTAATGTGTTTTAAAATTTTGGACTTGTTGGATATTTTTTTTGCATTTTATCCTTTTTTTGCATTTTATCCATGGATTTTATACAAGTATATTTTTTTGTAAGTGTTAATATGCACTTATTTACAAGATATACAAGAAATTTACCTAAATCCGCCTAGACCCCGCCTAACCGCCTAGGCACACCCGACTAACGCCTAGCGTTTTTTAGAACCTTGAATTTGTGAACCAAATCAAGAAAATTATAAGCTAGCATTAAAACTTCTTATCTAATTACAATATGACATTTTAAAAGAAATTAAACCCCAAAAAATTGAGAAGAAGACAAAAAAAGGAGTCATGAGAAAATGTTTCCACAGAAATCGACAAGCGAACACAGCTTTCGTACTTCAGTTGAGGTTTCCTCAAATTACAATTTGAAGTTAGCCGCCACTAAAACTAACCTGTTTAACTCCAAATGAACACAATTAAAATTCCTAACAAAAACAATACAATCTCAATAAAACACATGGACAGAAAAAGACAAGCATAAAGCACATACGTACCAAAATGAATAAATAATAATAATGCTAAAGTCACACTGCATCAAGAACTAGTAACTACATCATTTTCGTATGATTAATTTGGCTAATCCCTGTACTAATCATGAACAATAACTTAAACCAATCAAATACGCATGAACTGTTATTGGTAGCTCTGCTTTAAAGAGTAGCAAAACACATAACACACTAAAAAACCAATTTCAGGAACTACTATGCATCAGTGGTGTTTTAAAAAATTACTATGCATTAGCCGCGTTTAAAAAGTCATATCTATATGCTTCTTTTTTATAATTCATAAATGACCGACCCTCGCTAACACAATTTAAAATTACTTCAAATTGATAAAGGCATGCTAAATTTTAAATGGAAGTGAGTAAATTACTATTTTATCATTTTAATGTTGCTTATTTTAAAGAAAAACCTCGCAATCAGTTATGTGTGCATGAACAATTCTCGCTAACACAATTTGAATGGGACAGAACGTTAAAACATATCATATCTTACTATCAAAATTTGATGAGTGAAAAACGTAGCACGTTATAATTATAATTTGTAAGAAAAAGAAAATTAGAAAACAAGTAATGAAAAAATTGAATTATACAGGGGATAAATTAATTAATAAAAAAAGAGCATATTATCAACCAATAGCATTATCGCAAATAGACGGAGAGTCTTAACTCGCTGAGGGAGATGTTTGAACAGAGAAGCAGGACTATTACATAGAGAGAAAGGTCAAACATGACGGGTAGGGTCCGTCAATGGTTGATAAACCCCTCTATAACTCTCTCTCCTTTCTCTCTCTACACCCTCTTCCTCTCTCTCCCTCCCTCTCTCTCTCTAAAATAATTGCTCTCTCTCTTGGTGGTTCGTAGAAGGGTTTCGTGGAGGAGCTACTGGGGTTGCGTGTTTGTGGTGGGTGGTCCAGGAGATTCTACTCTGACATTACTTTCCTGGGTTTTTTCTAAATCTGGTGGACAGCAAAATGGCAGTAAGTTCACAACTTTCTCTGGGTTTTTTTGTGCTTTATTTTTTTGAATAAATGAATATTCTGTTTCCTTGTGGAAATAAAGAAGAGAATTTATGGAAATTCAGAAAAATATGAGCTTTATCTGATTTTGTCTTCTAATTTTGGAAATTTTCTACTTTGTTGGAAATTGAATGGAAAAATATTGAATTGGGATTGTAAGTTTACTAATTTATATTTTGATGTGAAAGCTTGTTGACATGTAAAGTTGCAAACTTTGATGTATTATTGATCTGGGTTCTGTTATTGGGGAGTTTACTTTAGGTTGCTCAATCAAAGTGCCTTTTATCATTCCTTCGAATCTACATTTCAGCTTCTGTATATGATATATGTTCAATAATTATTTCGAAAAAGAAGAAGAATTCTTGCATTTTTTTTGCTCATGTGGTTGAATTAGCATTGAAAAAATTGTGCTTTGGCGAACTGGAGCCCTAGCTTTTGTTAATTTGCGTAATAGTTGTACTGAGTTTGGGTTGCCGAGTTCTTGTTTTGAGGATTGGAATGGGCTTGAGCGGTCTACTGTAGTCTAGTTGATGTTGCATTATGCTTAAACACTGATGCATATGCCATACGGCTCCAGTGTTTTGATTCTTGGAAGTTGATACTTTTGCTGAAATTTTGGATGGATAATCTTTTGATGAGGCTGATGTTTTATGGTATCTTATTTGAAATTTTTAGTGCTAGTAGGTAATTGAAAACCTGTATGTGTTATATGTTTGATAATATGTTCTTAGACAAAATTTCTCTTCCCCTTCCTTCTTGTTTGCATAATCACACTTGAAATTCTCTGAGTCTACATTGTTTATTATGTGGGTGGAGAAATCTTTGTTCATTTTTTTCAATGAATTTTAAGGTATCTCCAACAGATACTGTTGGCGCACAAAGTGAGAATGTTGGATAATTGCCATTTCTAGAGAAATGAAATCAATGGGTTGACATTTTTTTATGTATTATAAGTTTATAACTTGGTATTTTTTCGTACTAGTAGGTGAGTCCGGAAAGCTTTCTCTCTTTAGCTCTCTCTCTCTCTCTGAATGAGTTGATTGGATGAAGCTGAAATTTATCTCTCTTTATCAACTTTCTTGTATGAATTGAAATTCTTTGGCTTCTCGGTTAAAATGAATATATGGGGTTTTACTTAGTGTGAAGAGAGATATCATTGTTCACTAGTGTTTGGTGCATTTTACAGCTTCTCCAAATCGATAGTGTTGAGTGACAAGGTGACTAGGTTGGATGAGTTATCCTTCATTTGTTGCAATTAAGGAGAACTGGAATTAGTGGCTTGATATTGGTTGTGCCAAGATAGTCTTATAATACCATTGATTTTAAAGGAATTTGGGTTTGATGTCAGTATATGCTGTTAAAAACTTAAACTTGGATGTTGCATTGGATTGATTGGCTTTTGATTAGAAACTAGAAAGGCATAGGTATGCAGTCTAAACCAAACAATCATGTGGGCAATTGGACAATCGTAGAGGTGGTATATTGGGATGTGTCATCTGGTATACCATTTGGCGTATGTTCATTTGAATATTTTCCATGGGCATTTAATCTTCCAGTCATTTCCCTCCCTCGCTTTAGGGCGCTCATGGTAGAAATGGAAACACGTTTAGGGAAGAGCATGCCATTGAGAAAATGCGTAACTGTCTCACCGGACAAAGGTGAGGTCACCATCTGTTACCTCATTCTTTGAATGCAACCAAAGCTTGTTGAAGAAGTATCTCTTTTGTGTTGCTCTGAGAAGGTTTAGGGAGTTGCAATAGATTTTGAATGTCCTTTTCTTCCCCGATCTGTTCTAACTGTGTTTATTTGAAAGTTTGTTGCAATGTGGTTAAGCGAGATCAAGTTGTGATCACATTGAACTGCCTGTCATACTTGTCCAATTCATATTTTTAAATTTGGTCCTCGTTTCTGTTCAGTGGTTTCATCTGCCTACTTGAACTTACCCATTCAATGACCCTGTTTATAGACGAGGTCTTAAATACTTCATATAATGCTACTTGATGTACTGAAATGTATTGATTGATGAAAATAGTAGGCATGACACTATTTTCTTAATGTGGCAGCAACGTTCACATGTACCAAAGTTTGGCAATTGGGAAGGCGAAGAAAGTGTTCCTTACACAGCCTATTTTGATAAGGCCCGTAAGGATCGAACTGGTGTCGGGGGAAAGATGATTAATCCAAATGACCCCCAAGAGAACCCGGACATCCTTTCTGACATATCTGCATCTTCTCCTCCAAAAGTTAGACCAGAACCAGAAAAACCAGTTCATGAACAGAGAAGAAGCAGGGAGGATAATGACCTAAGATTTGCCAACTCCCCAGCCCAGCGCAGAAATTCTGGTGAATCAGCACATCAACCTAGCAGAGGCCGTGGAGTTAGTTCTGGTGAAACCCATCGAAGGCCTGCACGGCCAAGTGCTGGGTCTGAGAACAGTGTTGAGCGTTCACCTCTCCATCGCAATGCGAGGGTCACAGGACGAGATTCACCCTCCTGGGAAGGAAAGGCTTCATATGAAACTAGCCATGGCACTCCTGGAAGGTCCCGCCTCAAACCTCGTGATGAAAGTGTAAATTTTCTTCCTCATATCCATTATTATATTGGTATACCATCATAAACTTGTCAAACTGTTGTCTATTTTTCCTTCTTTATTGTAATTACGGTAAAAAGATATGGTCTCAAAAACTTGTTTTGACTGATGATCAAGCATCATTCGAAAAAGTTTTGCTGGGTAAAAACCATTGTTTTCGAAATTATTGTTCCTGTAGTTAACTTAATAACAGGTAGTTTTATAGTGATACAATATCTTTGTCAAGTCTTGCTCTTGAGTATATTTTCTGTTTTAATGTGGCAGCCTGAGAAAGGTGCTGCTGTTCCGAAATTTGGCGAGTGGGATGAAAACGACCCGGCATCAGCTGATGGTTTCACTCACATATTCAACAAAGTGCGGGAGGAGCGGGCGGGAAAAGTACCAGGGACTCCTTCTCAGCCGTCTTACCAGGATGCAAGAAGGCAGGGTTCCAATGACAGTGCCAAGGTTTGTCACTAATCACCATATCACTCTCATTTTCATGCAAACACCGTTTTTCATGTCTCATTTCGTTTTCTTTTTCGGACTCAAATTTTGCAGAGTTGCTGCTTTCCATGGAGCAGAAAATGAGATTGAATCGTATCTCGGAATTTGTGGGTAAATGATAAGGTGTTTGGACCTGTAAATATCTTAAGGGCTTTGTATCCACGAGGGAGGAGTACCTTCTATAAAGTGCATCCATTTTTATCTATCCAAGGTTGTGTGTTATTTTTGTATTAATAAAGCTTTCGTTCCATTCTGATTGGAAATCTTTCTTCTTCTTATTTTTTGTCATCTTTTTTTGGGTGTGTTATTGTGCCATTGAGTTACCAATTTAACAACTATATATATGGTTGGAAAAAACTCGATTCTTTGATCCTATTTCAATAAATAATGTCCGGCAATATTTGTCTTGTTCTTTTGGGATGCATTTTCTCGTGGGAATATATGTTGCCTTCTTTTGACATCAGAGGGTAGAGATAAACACTAAACGATGCTTGCACCCTCGTGGTCTATTTTCTCAGCTCTCCTTCTCATTCTGTAATGTTGCCAAATGATTTTGACTTGGCTTTGTAGGTCACCATTTCAAAATCCCTCTACAAAAATTCAACCAAATCATAAATCAATTTCTTTTAAGCTTAAGGTATCCTACACTCTATAGAGCATAAATAATGTCTAGTGGGACTCGGAAAGATTAAAGGCATTCTATCCTACTTCTAACCGCAATAAAATAACATGTCCTCCCAAAAATTTGAACGGAGAATTATGCACGATTGTTCCCTACTAACATCATTACATTATTGCAGTGTCCGAGCCGCCGACAAGAAAAAGGACAAAGCCGAAAAATGAGGGTCAATTGTAAATAATCAATCCTCACCGTACAAATAATGGGATGGGAGTCCACCCTGAGGGCGCTTACTTACAATTCTCGCCCCCACAGACCAAACCAGAAAACCCAATCGAGCGCCAAAATTTCGCCGCGCGTTTCAAAACTTCAAATTTCGCTGAAAAAAGTACGTTAAAATACTCAAAACGAAAATGTTAGATTACATGTTTGAAAATTGAAACCTAAAATCTCAAATCCCCCCTCTCTGTCTCTCTCTTAGATTTCGGATTGCCAGTCCGCCATAGCTGAATCGAATACAGGGAACCGATTGCTGTGTTCGAATCCTTACAAATCTCAGGTACTTCACTTTGATTCAGAACTTCCAGTTCTTTTCACGCAGAAAAAACCCTTTCATTTTTCACTTCAATTTCTAGATTTACACATCTGCGAACCCAATTGAGCAGTTGTTTCAGAATAGCTGAAATTAGGGTTTCGCTGAATTGGGATTCATAGGAAAGCTTCGATTTTTGCTTTAGAAATATTGAAATCTCTATGCCCAATTGAGTTCAAACCCTATAAACTCATGGTGAGAGAGACAACTGTGGAGTCCTTCTACCGGAGGCTCCGTGAGTCCGCAACGGCGTCGTCTCAATCTCCTCTTCTGATATTCCCATCGACTTCAGATGCGGACTCGCTCTGTGCCCTCAAAATCATCTTCCATGTCCTGGAGTCCGATTCGATCCGATACGCGTGCTACCCCGTCTCGTCGTTTCAGGAGATTCACAAGTATGCAGGCCCGGATTTGTGTTCTTCGTCCGAAAACCCGGTTTCGATACTGTTGATCAATTGGGGCTGCCACCGGGACCTGAAGAAGCTCCTCAATTTGTCTCCCAAGGCTCGTGTTTTCGTGGTTGACAGCCACCGTCCGATCCATTTGCATAATCTGAGCGACCAGAATGCTCGTGTGGTTGTGCTTTATACTTTGGATGATGAGAGGCAGGCTGATTTGGCGTATGACATTGAGGATGTGTCGGCTTTGGCGAATGCGAGTGACTTGAATAGTGATGATGAATTTGACCCCGAATCGGATAGCGACAGTGACGGTGATGACAGCCAGAGTGAGGAGGAAGAAGAAGGAAATGGAGACGGGTCGAGAAAGCGAAGAAGGGTGGATCGGGAGAACGACCCAGTTAAGCTCTTTCGGGACCTGAAGAGGAAATATTATCATTTGGGTACTTTTCATGGTAAGCCTTCAGGGTGTTTGATGTATGATTTGTCACATTCTTTGAGGAAGAACACAAATGAGTTGCTTTGGTTGGCTTGCGTTTCGTTAACGGATCAGTTTTTGCACGAGAGGTTAACGGATGAGAGGTACCAAGCTGCGGTGATGGAGCTTGAGCAGTACATTAACAGTTCTGGGAATTTGGAGGCAGTGACTAATGTGACTCTCAAAGATGGCACGAAGATTCGTGTGCCCCAGGCATCTAGAATTACATACGAAGATGAGCCTAGGCTAATGTTGTTGCAGGAGTGGAATTTATTCGATTCTATGCTTTGTTCTTCGTACATTGCTACTAAATTGAAGACATGGAGTGACAATGGGTTGAAGAAGCTCAAGCTTCTTCTTGCAAGGATGGGATTTTCACTTGTGGATTGCCAGCAGAAATATAGGTACATGGATACAGAAGTGAAACGGCTGATGAAAGAGGAGTTTGAACGGTTTTTACCCGAATATGGACTCACTGATTTCTACTACAGAAGCTTTCTGCGGCTCCATGGTTACAGATCAAGAGTATCTGCAGCAGATGTGGTGTATGGAGTTACAGCGCTGCTTGAATCGTATGTGACATCAGATGGTTCTTGTGCTTCCAAGGAGTTTGGGATGGCTTATGATGCATTGTCAATGAACAATCTCGATAAGTTGAAAGGAGGAATGCAACAAGCAATAAAGATCCAGCGGGCAATTCTAAGGCAAGGAAGCATGGCAATAACCAAGAGAGGCTGCATAAGAAGTGGAAGGAAATTTCGTTGGGTGAAACTCGAAGACTCGTTGGATGCAAAATTGCTGGGGTACCCTCAGGCATTGACGAAATTCTGCTATTTTCTGATGGACGGTCTGAGAGAGAAGGGAGCTCGAATGAAGCCTCTGGTTTGTGCATGCTTGGCACAAGAGCCTAAAAAGGTGTTGATAGTTGGGGTTTGTGGGAAGCCTAGACTTGGAGCGGTTCAAGGAAACGCATTTGGAATCGCGTTCCGAAACGCAGCTCAGGAGATCGGCGCAGAGTTCTTCCATGAGTTGTTTGAGTCCTCGTGGATTGTTCTGGAGGCGGCTAAGATGAATAGCTTCATGGTGAGGCTGACAGAAGCTGTGATGTAGAACTTTGTAAGGAAAACGCCTAACTCAACACACTTTTAGCTACTTTTTCAGTCTTTGAGCAAAAATTTGGGTCATCTTTTAGATGACTGATATTTCGTATGCTTTTAGTTCATCTGTACCAAGAGGTATGTAATTGTCTTTTTTCTTCTTTTTCTTCGTTTTTCTTGAATAAATCTTCTTATTTACTGCTGTCGTAACATGTTCTTTCTTTCATATATAAACCGAGATTTTTTTCTGGTAAGTAATCAATTTCTCTGGCGCCCATTCTCAACCTGGAACCCATATGAGCTCGAAGTTTCCCTTGTAACCCTAGAACTGATTTTTACACCTTTTTTCTCTTTCCACACAATCTTCTTTATTTATAATCATCGAATATAATATAAACGTATTTAACGGCCGTTAATTACTTGGACAAATTTTGACCTTTTTAAGAGCTAGAGAATATTTTGTAGGCCAAGGTAGTTTTATAGAAATTCCACTTATTATGTTCCGTTGCATCAATTTGGTCCATCCAATTTCAAACTGTTACCATCCGTCAACGACCGTTAATTACTTGGACAAATTTGTTGATGAAGGCTAAAGTTGGTTGATGAGTGCATTATGCTTTTCCGTCTCTTATAATTTTAAAATCCCGTTCTTGTGGATTAAAAACAAATTAAAATAGAGAAATGTTAAAGGGGCTTTTTCAAAGTTATGCTTTTTCTTGGATTCTATGTCATCTCATATTTTTGACATAATATTTTATAATGCTGACATGAAAATTGAAGTTAAAGTGTAACGTGACAGAAAGTTTGAGAAAGTTCTCTTAGCATTTTTCATTAAAATATCTCATTTTCAAGCTAATGCAAGTTAAGAATTTGATTACTATACTTTCATGAAGTAAATAAAAATGAAATTGAAGAGCCCAGAGATTCTTGAACGAGGAAAATGATCTAATGACTTCAAAAGAATTGAACGAGAAGTCATATAAGGTGAAAATCTCATGTACGGTTTCTATAGAGTGGCATTATGGCAGTAAGGGTGACTTATCTGTCGACTTTTTTCACTATCACCCTCAAAAAACAAACTTTACCTTATATAAAGTAGTTAGAATACGTTTAACCTCTAGATCTAAAATCAATACTTATATACCTGAAATTAGCCATAATTTTCAAGAACATCGTCTAATCTTAGTAAGAGGGGAAGGATTAAAAATAATTATTATATTAAATATATTTTGTAGCCAATCCCGCAAGTCAATTAATTAGAATATTCTGCACACGAAATTTGAATGACCAACCCCGTAAACCGCAAACCAAAAGTCACGTGCGAGGCACAAGGAGGGCAAAGTGGTCATTTGCGTATAGGGGAGAGATAATTTCATCATCTCACACGTAGGCAACGTGACGTGGACTTGTTTCGTGCCTCACCGACCCGCTCGTCGCAGGTAAGGAAGGAAGGCGGAGCGAAATTATATTTCTCTCCATATAAATTCTAATCTAATTTAATTAAATAATAAACCTCTCGTAGTTTAAAGCGGAAAATAATATTAAAATATAATAAACTTTCTTTCTTTTCATTTCTTTTTTTGTTTTTTTTTTTCAAAATTTTCTTATATATTTGCAGACCCAGTGCTTCTGGGCAACCATTGGTAACTCCCTCCCCTCTCAAAATTCTCTGATCGAAGGTACGAGTTTCAATTTAATTTCGAATTATCTCTCCCGCTTGCTTTCCAGAAATCGGATGTTAGATTCTCAATTTCTCGTTTTGAAATCTCGATTCTGGTGTGCCTCTTAATTTCCTAGGGTTTCTTTCTGCGAATTTATTATTTATTTTTACTGCAATTTTATGGTTTTCTATGCTTGTATCGTTCTTATCTTGTGTTGTTTGGGGATTAGAAAAAATTTGGTTTTGATGGAAGTCGGAAATTTTAGCCCTGGGTCGGCAAGTTTTGAGCCGTTTGGTTGCTCAAAAATTGGGACTTTTAAGTGGAAATTGAAAATTTCAGTTGTAAATGATCAATTTTCTTGATGGATTATGATTTGATTTCTGTTTTTGTAGAAGGCCCTTTGTTTGTTGTGAAAATGTGGTCACTTTTTGGTCACAGATTTGGATGAAATCTGTGATTGCAATTAGGATTTCCAGTTCATTCAGGTTATGGTCAATTTCCATACTGTGTTTTGCTACTAGGGTTTTCGATTCTAGATTCTTTGGCCGAGTTTTTTTAGAACCGAATACGTTGTAGTGAGAGTTTGGTTAGTCGTGCTGGTTTGAGGCATGGAACTGAAGCACCAGTCTTTTTGGTAGGTTAACGAAGTTAAACAGTGAATCATAATCAAACTTTTGTTTTATCATTCGTTGGCATGGTTCAGCAGAGTCTATTGTCGGCTTGTTTGATATGAAAGTTGTAGGAAAGGAAATGGGCTGATAGAGCATAGTGTCATATCCTTGATTGCTTTGGTTTGAAAATACTGAAGTATGTTATTATTGTTTCTTCTGTTTTATAATTCTTCATTTGATTTCCGACAAAGTGAATCATGTATTTGAATAAGATTACTTCATTTCTAAAAAACAACTGTAGGTTTTAAAATCTTCAACTTGGATACAAGATTTAATATAACATGAGCACTCGGGGGGCCAGGGCGCCACATGCAAGAGGGCGGCGAAGAAAGAATGAGTTGAACTTGGACCTCAATAGTGCCCCACCTGGTGACAGTCGGGAACAGGAGGGAACTTCAACTCAGTCAGTGCCTCAGAATAATCAAGCGACTTTGCAAGTTCAGCCTATACCACCTAATACGATTGATGTTGAGGCTATTGATGATGATGTTATTGAATCCAGCCCCACGGCTTTTGCTGAGGCATGCTTATATTAATTTTACACATTCTTTTATTGTGAATTTCTCCATCCACTTAAGTGTATTGAAAAAAATGTTGTGATATTTTATCAGGCTAAAAACAATTCCAGAAGGAACCGGAGGACTGTTGTTGATGTGGAATCAGGTAATTTTGTTATATTGTAATGTAAACTTGTTATTTGTTACGGCAGAACTTTTTGGCATTTATGTGTTCTTTTGTGTGATCTGCTGTTTCTTTGTTACTTCATGGTGAAGATTATGTTTTTGTTATTTTATTTGTTACTTGATTCTTGTTCCCTTCTGTCTAAGTTCAGGAGATTATTAGACAATTTGAATGTTCTCCTTTGGATTTTCCTCTCACTTCTGTTTTTGCTGCATCAATGATAAAAATTTGGTGTTGGGCAACCTATGAGATAAAGTAGGGAGATAATGTTAGAATAATGTGTCATCTCTTTCTTTTTTTTTTAAGCATTTTCTTAGTAGGATAAGATGTTTGTAATATAAGTTTCAGAGTCTTGAAAGTTGTCCTGGACAACCCTGTACAAGCTGACAGATGTTGTCGTCTTTGTTTCTTTGTCTATTGTTCTAAACAAGAAGGGGAGATTAGGAAATCTACTCACCTTTGAGTTTGACCTTGTCAGTGGCGAATTGTAGGTGCTCCATATTACTATTAGGATATGTGTTTGCAGGGTAATCAAGGTCTAATGTTGGTCACAATTTGTAATTTTTTTCATTGATCTTTATGCGTCTCTCCATCTCTCTGTGATCATTGCAGAACGGACGGCTAGGGTCACTCAGAACAAGCGCAGAAGAGTTGGACCAAACCAAACAATTATTAATTGTGATTTCTACATAAATCTGGAAAGCAACAGCAACTCCACCTCCACGGTAATTGTAAGTTTTTGACTTAAGGGCACCGCATTCATTTGTTGTGCATGTATGTGATACTTCAAATATTTTATTTGCAGAAACAGAATGTTACACAGCCACCTCCACCACCACCGCCACCAAAGGAGCCCACCTTTACCTGTCCCATTTGCATGGCTCCTTTAGTTGAGGAGATGTCAACAAAATGTGGCCACATTTTCTGTAAGGCTTGCATTAAAGCTGCAATAGGTGCGCAGGGCAGATGCCCTACCTGTAGGAGAAAAGTAACTATGAAAGAACTGATTAGGGTATTCCTCCCTACGACCTGTTGATTGGTGATGTAAGTTCACTCGGCTGTCCTATTCCTATAACTATTTGTTCACTCATGGAGCTAATATATGTTTGCTCGCTTTTGTACTTCTGTTCGCAATGTGCCTCTCTATATCGGTTATTATGATGCAAAGGTTACAAATAGCACTAACTAGATATTGGATTGCCAATTCTCTAATAGTCATAAGAAATTTACATTTCCTCATGGTTATAGAATTTCGTGTTTTGCTCGTCGTCAAGTACTTATACACGGTCTTGGTTGTGGCAGGGTTATGAAAGGTGGTTTTTGAGGGATTGAGGATTGGGGAATTGAATTGGCATGCCTGCAGAATTGAATTTTCATACTCAAATGGTTTGTATCAAAAAAGATGTTATGATTAGTGGGTATTTGTAACTTCTTTAAGAAATCAGGCACCTTAATTTCAGCTTTATGCTGCTTTTAATGCAATTAGCTTTTGGATGAGCAATGAATGGCCCAAGTTCTTAGTGATGAATTACTGGTGCTTTATTTTACACGTATGGTTTATGGTTGGGTGAGGATCCGACTGCCTTGTATTGGGTGCAGAGAAGAAGGGGACGGAAGGAAGAAACCAAATGAGTATACCGGTGTTGACCATCTAACTAGCATCTTTTATGAAAGGTATATAGACTCAAGTGAAATGAATACCATTGATAAATAGTACACTGAAAGAATTTGACCTCTGAGCCGTATGAGGTTGGAAACTCTCAAGTATGGTTCTTTGGGAAGGAATTTACCCCTCTATTCTGACCAGGGAGAACAAGTTGTTCAACAAGGAGATTTTGAAACTGTGGAGGCTTGGTTCGATCAAGCTGTCGAGCAACAAGCAATAGCGCTTACTCTTAGTAATTATATTGTAGCATAGAAGTGGTCGAAAATTACAAGGCGTTTCGACTCTTTGTTAGCAAAAAAGGGGACTCCTGGGTAAAGATGGTGATAAAGCTAACTAGATATGTGTTAATTGTGGTCGTGAGTGGTGATGTTTGTTTTTGTAATGATGATGATGGTATATATGGTGTTAATGTGGTCGTGAGTGGTGATCTTTGTTCTTGTGATAATGATGGTGATACATATGGAGTATTAATGTGCCTCCATTGACCATTCCTAGTTCCACCGCAAACTCGTCTTTATATTCAGTAAGAAAATTTACTGAAAATTTTTGCTTGTAGCATTTCCAATTGACTTTGAATTCTTTGTTTACTAACACCAAACGAATAAGTAAATAAGTGGGTCCAACATGAAATTTTTTTTTTTTGAACAAATGGTATTATCTATACTAAGAGGGAGGAGATAGAATTAACCTCATAATAGACTAACAATAATGAAGTTCAAATTTGTATTTGACAAGAATTTGTTCGATCTCACTTATAAAAAAGAGAAATACCACTGCAACATGAATTTTGGTATGAGATATTTAAGGTATCCCATTAACATGGTGTATAGTCAATCCTTCTCATCTTTTGACTTACCCAAAATGTATAGGTACAAAAAGTAAACCCTTTTATGGATTGTGTCAAAAACATCATAAATTTTGTGGCTAAATAAAAACATTAATTTAGAAAAAAGATTTGAACCCAGAAAATTACCTTTTATTTAAAAAAATAACTTTATTTACTACGTATTGTTACAGTACTATTTATTTTAAAAAGTACCTTTATACATACGTCCCGGTTAAAAAATACGTCCCGGTTAATAAACTTCCCCTTCTCCCTAATAATAATAATTTAAAAGAAAACCGTTTAAAATAGAATCCGGTGGTGATTGTTCTTATGGCTTAGATTTTTATTTTTTTAATTTTTAATTTTTAAATTTTTAATTTTTTAAAATTTTATTTTTATGACAGTGGTATAAAATGTTAAAGATCCTTATTATTCGGATTTTGGATATCTTATGTACCCTAGATGTGACCCTACCCTGATACGTATCGAAAATTATAGAGTAGATGTTCTGACAAAATTATTGACAATACTTTAATTAGTAACGTTTTTGTTGAAGATAAGATAAGAAAAAGAGCTCATTCATTCACTACAATGGCTTTTATTTCAAGGCGGAGAGAATTTCGGGACCGGCAACGGAATAATATCTTTGCGGAGATATTATAGGTTGGGCGGTTAAGGGCAATGTACTTACTTACTCAAGTTTAAATTCCGTCTCCATAAGTTATAATAATTAACAACACATATTGTCTTGTAAAAAGAAGAGTAAAAGAAAAATGGCCTAAAACATAAACAAATTAAAGAGAGATAGAGAGAGCAGTGATAATTGAAGCACGTTTATTTAAACAACAAGACCATAACATTACGTATAATTTGAGTTTACAACGTTCTTAGGCTCATGATTATTTATGTACGTAGTTAATAAGGCCTCAGTTCAGTGAGCCTGTCAAAGCATTGTGTGGTCGGGTGAGTGACTATGGATAGCCACCACCGCCAGCTCCACCAACGCCTTTCCCTCCATCATCATATTTTGGAATGCCTCCTTTCCTACCATAATCATACTTGGGGTTGTCTCCTTTCCCACCGTGGTCATCTTTAGGACGGTCTCCTTTTCCTTCTCGATCATCTTTAGAAAGGTCTCCTTTCTTACCGTTATCTTCTTTAGAATGATCTCCTTTCTTACCGTTATCATCTTCGGAACGGTCTCCTTTTCCACCATGATCATCTTCGGAACATTCCTTTTCACCACGATCATCTTTGGAACGTTCTCCTTTGCCTCCGTGATCACTATCATCTCCCTTACCACCATTGTCATCTTTTCCGCCATAATCACCTCTAGGGTTCCGATCATCTCCCTTCCCGCCATAATCACCTCTAGGGTGACGATCATCTCCTTTCCGGCCGCCATAGCCACCTCTAGGGTAAGGATCATCTCCTTTCCGGCCGCCATAGCCACCTCTAGGGTAAGGATCATCTCCCTTCCCGTAATAATCACTTCCAGGGTAATTATCATCTCCCTTCCCGCCATAATAACCTCTAGGGTAATTATCATCATATCCTTTCCCACCCTGATCTTCTGCAAGTATCCCACGGAAACCGAACCCCAATCGTCCCAGCCCAGGTATACCAAGAAATGGCAATGGAAGCAAATCCCTAATCAATGGAATCAATGACAGCACCCCACCGCCATATCCTCCAAAAGGGCCACCATAGCCTCCATATGGCCCCCCATATCCTCCGTACCCTCCATATCCACCGTATCCCCCATAGTTTTTGGCATCATAGACCTCCTCTAATTTCTTTTCCTTCTCACTATTACTGGTCACCCCTTCAGAACTCACAAGAAACCCTACAAAGACAATGAAAACAAGCAACACCCTTTTGTTCTCCATAGTTATTTTGCATGAGAAGTCTGCGTAGAGATCTCCCGCTATTAATAGTGGCACTTTGCGAGAGGGAGTTAGAGAGTGAGAGTGAGAGAATCTTTTGATTAATTTGTGTACTCTGTTTCGGTAATGGCATTGAGTAGGGTCTGCATGGAGATTTTGGTCTTTATGGAATGACTAAGTTGAGTGGAACTGCTGCGTTTTAAATCCCTGCAGGCCCAGTCAAGTTTGGTGAGGGTTTCTCCTGTTGGTTTGAAATTAGGTTGATCTGTTGGTAACAGGTAGGAGCAAATGGTAACTTCATTGATAAGCTTTAATGGCCATGGATTTTCATGGTTTCGTGACGATAAGGCTTTCTGAATCTAAAGCAGCATTTAAGTTTGATGTTTGATGGATGGTTTTGGAATTGATACAACTTTAACTATATTAAGGAGAGAAGTAGCATTTTATGCATTTTAAATTTGAAGCCACTTAATACTACGGTTTAATGGTATTCCTCTTCATTTATAAGTGAGATGTCTTAGGTTCGATTCTCGCCAAATGTGAATTTGAATCACATTGTAACTAGCTCATCCCCTACCCCTTAGTGTAGACAATATTGTCTGTTAAAAAAAATTGAATTCCTAAACATTTGGAATGAGTCTTTGGGAATGGACTTTCCATCTATATTCCTAGTGATTGGGTATAAGATAATACTATTTTCATGTTGGTTTGTGTAAGATGAGAAATTGGTCAAAATGATAATTTTTTTTAAATCTTCATTATGTCGTCCAAATTTCATTTTGATAAGTTCAACAATTGAGATTTAATTTCTAATCATTTTGTGTCAGCTATATCGTTGATAGTTGATTTTGGATCAATTCAATGATTGAAATTATTTTACTTTTAGCATATATATCTCATGTCATTGTCTTTTATCACTATATCGTCGATATTGAATTATGTTGTTCATATTTTATTTTCATCGATTCAAATTGATATTTGATTTATCGTCATTTTAGACATTTTCAATGATTATTTAAAGTAATAATAAGTAATGAGGGTACAAAGGGGGCAAGAGTTTCAACTTCTCTTCATGGGAGTTTATGACACACCCCGACTTGGAATGTCCACTAGGACTCCAAATCGAGCTGTGCTGGCTGACATCTGGAAGGTGACGAAGTCATAAAGTGTGATGATGTGGAAAAATGTGAATAAATTTAAACCTAAGAGTGCCTAAATACTAGAGTGCGCTAGTGAGCGGGAATGAACCCCCTTCACACATGACGTTAAAGCATAAGTAAGTACAGTAGAATGAATTAAGAATCGTACCATCAAAGGTAATCTCCAATACCAAGACTTGCCATGAATCCTCGACGATAAGAAAGCTCAGCTAATAAAACCTGGAGGGTGAAAACCAAACAAGGGTGAGTGACCCTGGAAATAAAATTTTAATAGAAACCATATAAAACATTATAACCCTTCGTTGCAACACCTGTATAGTTTCCAGGAAAATCATATCACGTATCAATGTGAAATCAAAAGTATATCAACAGTAAATCCATAAATATACTACAACACAACATCTCATCAACAATATCAATAATCATGTGCTTAATAACCCATATTAGCACGCCAGTCGGAGTCACCTATGGTGACCTGTGCGACTACAACCATATCTCATCAATCAATGCTAGCTCATAAGTCGGAGTCACCTCTTGTGATATGTACGACTTATCCATATCTCATCACATATGCTAGCTCATAAGTCAAAGTCACCTCTTGTGACATGTACGACTTATCCATATCTCATCACATAGGCTGGCTCATAAGTATATCTCATCACATATGCTAGCTCATCAGATATCTCATCACATATGCTAGCTCATCATATATCTCATCACATATGCTAGCTCATCATATATCTCATCACATATGTTAGCTCATCATATATCTCATCATATATGCTAACTCATCATATATCTCATCACATATGCTAGCTCATCATATATCTCATCACATATGCTAGCTCATCATATATCCATACACAAGAGTCGGAACCACCTATAGTGGTATGTACGACATGACTAGGTGTAAATAAATACGCTCAAGTGCTACAATCACGTGAAGATTGTGCGAATAATCACGGGTCACCTACGAGTCGGAACCACCTATAGTGGTCTGTACGACAGGCCTGTGCACTTACCTTGGATCCAAGGTGAACGTAAGGTGTGGGGGTGAACATCACGTGAAGGACTGTGGCCTGGCCACGGGCCGGAGCACTAACACCGGGGTGCAGGTTTATGAGCTCTAAATGCATCTCATATGACATATACAACTCATAGGCAACATGTGAGACAATGTTGGAGTTGTCTAAAACATAATATAGTCATGCTATCACTCGATCATTTCAACTAATACCATAAACTCAACTGAACTTACCTGGGTCTCTTGTGTTCACCTTTGCGCTTCAAACATTCATAATAATTATGTGCAGGTAATATACATATAGATAAACCATGATGCAATTTATTACTCAACCATGTTATAGCATTTTCAATTAGATACATATGTGTGTGTGTGTGTGTATTATGGCATAAAAATGCATAAGTTGTAACGCCCTACTCCCGAACTATTTATTTCCGAGAATAAATATCAGTGATAAGCCCAACTAGACACTAGTTTAATTAGCTATCATTACTTATGTTTCCGTACTTCAAATTCTCGATCCTTCACACCATGATTTATGACCAACATCCAATCACTAATTCATATGGTTAAATCTCACATTTTCTACCAATGTCCCTCACCTTGCACAATTTCCCAAACAAGGCTATTACCTCAATTATTTTATCTTATTTATGTTATGGCCGCATCTAATGTCTCGTTAGACTGCCTATGTACCCTAAATAGGGATCAAGTCATTTGTAGTTCGCATTAGTACTTCACAGCATTCATAGTAATTATATGTAGTAATCAATTTATAACTGTTTGTGGAATTATCAATCATATATATATATATGTGTGTGTGTGTGTGTGTATACGATAGAAGGGAAAAGACCCACTTACCTGAGGTCCGTGCTACGACTCTCTAGCACGCATATTGAGTCATCATGAACCATCGTCGCCTATGACCAATTATCAAATCACATCTCAGAGTTCTGACCGATAAAATACATAATTTACATAAAATGCATCCTTACATAATTCAATTCGGAAGATCTGCATCACGGATTTCTGATCCGTTGCTTCCAAAGATCCACAATATACTTCTAGAACAACATCCTAAGGTTTCATTACGATCCAACGGTCAGATCTCTGCCAATTGCCAAAACTAAATGGCGGTCAACATTTTAATTTATAAACTTACAAATCCAATTTAGGAAAATCCATACGTCGGATTTCTTATCCGTAAGTTTCTATGGTCCTCAAATATTATGTACTATAACATGTTAAAGTTTGGTGACGATCCAACGGTCGGATCGTCGATTCATATCTTTACCAAGTAACGTATCCTAATGAGTTTAGATCCAAACGATCAACCTACGATATACAATTGCCAAAACTAAACTCAAGACATCTAATTTATCCTAAGGATAACATCGACGGTCCCCTAGGCACGCGCCGCCGCAGGTGGCAGTCGACCGCCTTGACTCGCCGAAAAATCCAACTATTTCCAAAAATTATCAAAATTTACAAGAATGAAGATCTCAATGAGTAGAGTAAACTTTATACCTATGGCCAAGTCCAATTTGGCCGAGAAAAGCTCCAATTTTGCTCAAACCCGCCGAAACCCTAGAAAATGGTGTGCTTCAATTCGACCTCCATACTCACTCCGACGCCTCAACCACTGCCTGGGCTTTGTTCTTGTGTTCTAGAGGAGTGTTCTAGTGGTGGTAATTCAAGAAGATGATTTCACGATTGATGGATTTCGAGCATGGGTCTCAGGCACCCCCATGGTTTATTTCAATGATTTACACCCAAATCTTTTCCATATTTGGGTGGAAATAGAAGAGAGGAGGTCAAGGGATGATTTCCAGTTGAAGAATGGGTGACTTTCGTCGGAAAAGTGGTGGAATCTAGCCGGAATTAGAACCTAGTCAAAACCGGTTTTTGCTGTGGGTGTACGGGTCAACTGGGTTAGGTGCTCCACACCTCCCTCATTTCCCTCCTGGTTCTTCTCTCCCATTCGTCACTCTCACTCTCCTCATTTCCTGATTGGGCAGTGCCCATCTTCTTTCTCTCTCTCTCCACTTCGCTGTCATCAGGCAGCCTTCCTCCTTTTCTTCTCTTCTTTCCTTTCCTCTTTTTTTTTCCCCGTTAATTTTTCTAACCTCTCAATTAATAAAAATAACAATAACTATAAGAAATGAATAGAATAAATAACAACCCTTACCAACATACTTTTGAAATACGGTAAGGTAATAGTTCATACGCATCTTGAACTAGCGATCAACGAAAGTCAATACCCTCACCTCTAGGGTATTCTCGTGATTTCACATTTTAAAATTTATAAAATAGTAAAATTTGGGACGGGTTGTCACAGTTTGAAATGCATGTAAGATGAAAAACTATCCCGCCACTTGGTACTATGATCTTGTAGTATTTTTCTTTATTGGTAAGTGAAAGGTCTTAGGTTCAATTCTTGTTAAAGACGAATTTGAACCACATTATTGCTAGCCCATTATACCCACTCCCTCACATCTTTAGTGTAAATAATATTGTTTGTTAAAAAAAAATATGAAAAACTATCCCATTAATGCACTTTTCAAACATGAAAGTAGAGTTTCATGAATTAAACCTATTTTCAAGTTCCTAATCCGTGCTGAAGAGTAGGGTCATAATTTAAGGGTGTGATATCCACAGACATTTTTTACTTCTCACACACTCTCTTAATTTTCAGGATTTAATGAAATGACGATGATCAAATGACATAAATTAACAAGGAGTGTGAGAAGTAAATATAGGTGTGTAGATAGCACATCCCTAATTTAAAGGTCCAAGAATTTCTGCCTGAAATAATAGGT